AATATTCGCCATGACTCCGTTGGGCAACCACTAGAGATGATTGCTGGTACGATCGATGCAACTTGAATCTTTGCCAGTATTAACTGCCAGGCCTTCATGGCCTTCTCTACGGCCTTCCTACCATACTCCTGCTTCAGTTTGGGAATGTCTGCATCCGACTTCCCTACCCTGATTGTCTCTTCTGATACTATTGTATTCAGGCAATCTTCTTGTTGCAACAGCATTCGAAATCGGCTCTCAACCACCTGTACTCTAACTTGAACATCGCCACTAGAATCTAACACACCCGTAAATGGGGCTACATGTATTACAGGACTGACACGGATGGTGNTTCAGGCAATCTTCTTGTTGCAACAGCATTCGAAATTGGCTCTCAAACACCTGTACTCTAACTTGAACATCGCCACTGGAATCTAACACACCCGTAAATGGGGCTACATGTATTACAGGGCTGACACGGATGGTGTCCTTAGGGGTTACGACATCCCTGGTTTCCTCACCCGGGGTGTTGGTCCTTCGCATTGCCCGTGCGAACGAATCGACGAGACGGTCCTCCAACGATCGTGGCTGGTCTTCAGGTTGCGGGTTCAACGCTGTTCCAGCCGGCCGAGCATGCCGGGGATCGCCTCCATCGGGGGGCATGTCCACGCTCTCTGAAGCGGGACGCTTTTCTTCTTGTTCTTTCATCTTCTGTTGTACTTTCTTCTCCACCTCCTCTTTGATGTGCGCCGCTAATGCTTGGCGATCCCCCTCAGTATAGCTGCTGAGGTCGAGGGCTTCCTCCATAGTCTACTTCTCTAGCCGAACCCTTTTGTAGCTAACCTCACCTCGGGATCCCGTATGATATCAGCACGCTAGCGTGTTAGGATGATCCGAACTGGGGGTAGCTTGTCGCAAGACGTGTGTTGAATAGGGTGTCGGCAACTCGGCGAACTCGCGCCAAGGAAGAAAGACGTGTAGGGTTTGTTGCATAAACTTCTCCTTCACATGAACTCACATGAACTCACATGAACTCACATGAACTGAACGCTCGCGTGCACGCACCACCATGAGGGGGCGACGCAGTATACAACAGGGGTACCTTACACACCCTGGAAATACATTCCACGTGCCACACAATCCTACAACCACTTGGCGTTGCTACAAGTATATCTATCAGTACCATGGTCATATATGCCAAGTGCTAAAACGACCACATAACCAAACAGAACCAGACAACACTACATCGGTAGGTTCATCAGAGCCTTCCGGTGGTACTCTAACTTCTCTCTGCCAAGGACCTTGGTCAGCATGTCGGCGTGCTGCTCTCCAGTCGGAACATACTCTTCAGTGATCTTGCCCGACTTGAATAGCTCGCGAATGAAATGGAACCGCACGTCGATGTGCTTGCTCCTCGCTGAGCTGAACGGGTTCTCGATTAAGGCGGGAGCCCCCTTGTTGTCCTCAAGGACTTTGATCTTTGCCCCACTCGTCTCGGGCGCTATGAACGACAGAACGCCACGCACAAACAACGCCTCCTTCACGCCCTCCCCGGCTGCCATATA